CCCCCCCCCCCCCCCCCCCCCCCCCCCCCCTCGCCCTCGCCCTCGCCCTCGCCCTCCTCTTCCCTTTTCCTGTTTCTCCCTGGCAAGCTGCTGGACTGTTGCTTGTTGTGTTGACGGGGAAGGGACATGGGGATACTTACAGATAGACGGAGTGGGTGGGCGTGGAAATGGGGTAGGTCGGCAACAAGGCACTTGGCATATGGACTCTGCAGGCTCTGCCGAGTCGTGGGAGCAGTTCCATGGATCACAAGAGCTGGTGAGATCAGGGCACTCGTCACGGGCTCACTCGCTTGACTCGCATCGGGTGCGGCGGGTCAAGGCACGGCGGCATCGTTCGTCGCGGTACCACCGTCACGGAAACGGGCACGGACACGGTACCGGACACAGCACAGGTGACAGTCATCGGCGGTATCACGGCCATCGGCATCGGCATCGGCACAGTGGTCATCACAGTGGTCATCACAGCGGTCATCACAGCGGTCATCACAGCGGTGGCGGTGGCGGCCGTCGCCATCATGGCCATCGCCATCATCATCACCATCGTCGCCACCACCACCAGCATTCCCGGCGGCACTTGCATGGCCACCGGCACCACCTGCATGGTAGTGCTGGCAGGCATCGGCGGCGGGTGCGACGGAGTCGACACGGACACGGAGACGAAGGCGAGAATGGCCATGGTCATGGCGTGGGCGGGGCCGAGGATGAGACAATGTTGCTTATTCCTGTGATGGACGGCGCTGGTTCTGCGGACAAGTCGCAGTGGGCGTTTGTGCCTCATGCAGGCTCAGTATCGCAAGATGAGCTCGACGCAATCGCCACCAAAGAGCGCGATGCGTGGCGCTACAGGACGCAAAAGCCACGGGGGAGCGATGCTGGAGTCGCGGAGACTCGCATGCTCGATCCTGCGTACACCGAATCGGGCGAGGAGACAAGGAGCGACAGCAGCGTGTACGAGTACGAGTCGTACGAGTACGGGTCGGACAAGAGCAAGTCAGACGAATTCGGGTCGGATGAGTACGGATCTCTGCAGTCTCTCTCTTCGATCACCGTCTCATCCGAGTACATGGCGGACAAAGTACCCGAGGTTGCTGTGGCCAAAGGAGACGAAGCAATCGCAGCAGCTCTCATGGAGACAACGTCGTCATCAGAGTCGACAGCGTCACCACTGTCGACAGGATCTGTGTATGCCACGGACAACGTGCCGCACCAAACGCAGGTGCTTTCGGACGAGTCGTCCGAAACAAGCAGCACGCGACCAGAGGAAGCGCTCCGCGAGCAGGTGAGGCAGATGGCCAAGTCGTTTGACTCGATGGCGCGGCGGGTGGCCGAGAAGCTTGCTGACGAACAGGACGCCGTGGACGAGGCGCTCGACGACATGGAGGCGCGAGTTGCTGGGCTCGAGGATGCTGCGGACCGACTCGAGGGCGCCTCTGACGGCGAGGTCTCGTATGTCGAGGATGTGTCGCGATACGTGCCCGAAAATGTGGCGTATCGCATTCCTGCCGACGAGGCGTCAGACTCGCGGTACGTAGTTCATGCTCGTGTCCCGGGCACGACGTATGACGAGACTTCCGCGTACCCGGCAGGTGACTTTGGGTCGCGATCTCCAGCACAAACGCTTTCTGGTGGCACTGAGACGTTGCCGTCGTCGTCATCGTACGGGGGTACGGACGCGCTACCGTTCAACGGTCCCTTGGGCGGTAGCGAGTCTAAGCCACCGTTGTCGTACAGCGGCGAGGCTGCTGGGTACGAGGCACGGGCTGCGCCGTCGACTGTGTCAGCGCCATCATCGTACAGCGGCGAGGCTGCTGGGTACGCGCCTGGGAGTGAGCCGTCCAAGGCTGCGCCATCATCGTACAGCGGCGATGCTACTGGGTACAAGGCACGAGCTGCGCGATCGACTGTGTCTCCGCCATCATCGTACAGCGGCGAGGCTGCTGGGTACGCGCCTGGGAGCGAGCCGTCCGAGGCTGCGCCATCATCGTACAGCGGCGAAGCTGCTGGGTACGCGCCTGGGAGTGAGCCGTCCGAGGCTGCGCCATCGTCGTACAGCGGCGAAGCTGCTGGGTACAAGGCACGAGCTGCGCCGTCCGAGGCTGCGCCATCGTCGTACAGCGGCGAGGCTGCTGGGTATGCGCCTGGGAGCGAGCCTTCCGAGGCTGCACCATCGTCGTACAGCGGCGAAGCTGCTGGGTACAAGGCACGGACTGCGCCATCGACTGTGTCTGCGCCATCATCGTACAGCGGCGAGGCTGCTGGGTACGCGCCTGGGAGTGAGCCGTCCGAGGCTGCGCCATCGTCGTACAGCGGCGAGGCTGCTGGGTACAAGACACGAGCTGCGCCGTCGACTGTGTCTGCACCATCATCGTACAGCGGCGAGGCTGCTGGGTACGCGCCTGGGAGTGAGCCGTCCGAGGCTGCGCCATCATCGTACAGCGGCGAGGCTACTGGGTACAAAGCACGGGCTGCACCGTCGACTGTGTCTCCGCCATCATCGTACAGCGGCGAAGCTGCTGGGTACGCGCCTGGGAGTGAGCCGTCCGAGGCAACGCCATCATCGTACAGCGGCGAGGCTGCTGGGTACGCGCCTGGGAGCGAGCCGTCCGAGGCTGCGCCATCATCGTACAGCGACGAGGCTGCTGGGTACAAGGCACGAGCTGCGCCATCGACTGTGTCAGCGCCATCATCGTACAGCGGCGAAGCTGCTGGGTACGCGCCTGGGAGCGAGCCGTCCGAGGCTGCGCCATCGTCGTACAGCGGCGAGGCTGCTGGGTACAAGACACGAGCTGCGCCGTCGACTGTGTCAGCGCCATCATCGTACAGCGGCGATGCTACTGGGTTCACATGCAGGCATGGCGCCACTGAGGCGTTGTCGCCATCGCACAGCGGCGATTACGAGGATACTATCTCCTCTTCTATCCAATACGGCACCGACGCTGTGGTTTACAGGAGGTCGCTGCCGCCACCGTGTAGCGTTCAAGACAACGGTCAGGGTTTCAAGTCTGCGACACATGCCGTATCGTCTGAGTATGACGCGTCATACTCCATCAAGTACCGAGCACCTGACACCTCGTCTTATGATGCATCAGCCAGGGTGCTGTACCGCGCACCTGGTAGTACGGAGTCGATGTATGAAGCGTCCTACAACGTCATCTACCGCTCTGCAGTTGGTAATTCTGGCCGGCATCCAACGCTGTCATCCCTAACGGGCGAGGCTGCTGGGTACGCACCCGGCAACGAGCCGTCCGAGGATGCACCGTCATCGTACAGCGGCGAGGCTGCTGGGTACGAGGCACGCGCTGCGCCGTCGACTGTGTCAGCGCCATCATCGTACAGCGGCGAGGCTGCTGGGTACGCGCCTGGGAGTGAGCCGTCCGAGGCTGCGCCATCGTCGTACAGCGGCGAGGTTGCTGGGTACAAGGCACGAGCTGCGCCATCGACTGTGTCAGCGCCATCATCGTACAGCGGCGAAGCTGCTGGGTACAAGGCCCGGACTGCGCCATCGACTGTGTCAGCGCCATCATCGTACAGCGGCGAGGCTGCTGGGTACGCGCCTGGGAGTGAGCCGTCCGAGGCTGCGCCATCGTCGTACAGCGGCGAGGCTGCTGGGTACAAGGCACGAGCTGCGCCATCGACTGTGTCTGCGCCATCATCGTACAGCGGCGAAGCTGCTGGGTACGCGCCTGGGAGTGAGCCGTCCGAGGCTGCGCCATCATCGTACAGTGGCGAGGCTGCTGGGTACGCGCCTGGGAGCGAGCCGTCCGAGGCTGCGCCATCATCGTACAGCGGCGAGGCTGCTGGGTACAAGGCACGAGCTGCACCGTCGACTGTGTCTCCGCCATCGTCGTACAGCGGCGAGGCTGCTGGGTACGCGCCTGGGAGCGAGCCGTCCGAGGCTGCGCCATCATCGTACAGCGGCGAGGCTACTGGGTACAAAGCACGGGCTGCACCGTCGACTGTGTCTGCGCCATCATCGTACAGCGGCGATGCTGTTGGGTACGCGCCTGGGAGTGAGCCGTCCGAGGCTGCGCCATCATCGTACAGCGGCGAGGCTGCTGGGTACGCGCCTGGGAGCGAGCCGTCCGAGGCTGCGCTATCATCGTACAGCGGCGAGGCTGCTGGGTACGCGCCTGGGAGCGAGCCGTCCGAGGCTGCGCTATCATCGTACAGCGGCGAGGCTGCTGGGTACGAGGCACGAGCTGCACCGTCGACTGTGTCTCCGCCATCGTCGTACAGCGGCGAGGCTGCTGGGTACGCGCCTGGGAGCGAGCCGTCCGAGGCTGCGCCATCATCGTACAGCGGCGAGGCTACTGGGTACAAAGCACGGGCTGCACCGTCGACTGTGTCTGCGCCATCATCGTACAGCGGCGATGCTGTTGGGTACGCGCCTGGGAGTGAGCCGTCCGAGGCTGCGCCATCATCGTACAGCGGCGAGGCTGCTGGGTACGCGCCTGGGAGCGAGCCGTCCGAGGCTGCGCTATCATCGTACAGCGGCGAGGCTGCTGGGTACGAGGCACGGGCTGCGCCGTCGACTGTGTCTGCGCCATCATCGTACAGCGGCGAGGCTGCTGGGTACGCGCCTGGGAGCGAGCCGTCCGAGGCAACGCCATCATCGTACAGCGGCGAGGCTGCTGGGTACAAGGCCCGGACTGCGCCATCGACTGTGTCAGCGCCATCATCGTACAGCGGCGAGGCTGCTGGGTATGCGCCTGGGAGCGAGCCGTCCGAGGCTGCGCCATCATCGTACAGCGGCGAAGCTGCTGGGTACAAGGCCCGGACTGCGCCATCGACTGTGTCAGCGCCATCATCGTACAGCGGCGAGGCTACTGGGTACAAGGCACGAGCTGCGCGATCGACTGTGTCTGCGCCATCATCGTACAGCGGCGATGCTACTGGGTACAAAGAACGGGCTGTACCGTCGACTGTGTCTGCGCCATCATCGTACAGCGGCGAGGCTGCTGGGTACAAGGCACGGACTGCACCGTCGACTGTGTCAGCGCCATCATCGTACAGCGGCGAAGCTGCTGGGTACAAGGCCCGGACTGCGCCATCGACTGTGTCAGCGCCATCATCGTACAGCGGCGAGGCTGCTGGGTACGCGCCTGGGAGTGAGCCGTCCGAGGCTGCGCCATCGTCGTACAGCGGCGAAGCTGCTGGGTACAAGGCACGGACTGCGCCATCGACTGTGTCTGCGCCATCATCGTACAGCGGCGAGGCTGCTGGGTACGCGCCTGGGAGTGAGCCGTCCGAGGCTGCGCCATCGTCGTACAGCGGCGAGGCTGCTGGGTACAAGGCACGGACTGCGCCGTCCGAGGCTGCACCATCGTCGTACAGCGGCGAGGCTGCTGGGTACGCGCCTGGGAGCGAGCCGTCCGAGGCTGCGCCATCATCGTACAGCGGCGAGGCTGCTGGGTACAAGGCCCGGACTGCGCCATCGACTGTGTCAGCGCCATCATCGTACAGCGGCGAGGCTGCTGGGTATGCGCCTGGGAGCGAGCCGTCCGAGGCTGCGCCATCATCGTACAGCGGCGAAGCTGCTGGGTACGCGCCTGGGAGTGAGCCGTCCGAGGCTGCGCCATCATCGTACAGCGGCGAAGCTGCTGGGTACGCGCCTGGGAGTGAGCCGTCCGAGGCTGCGCCATCATCGTACAGCGGCGAGGCTGCTCGGTACAAGGCACGAGCTGCGCCGTCCAAGGCTGCGCCATCGTCGTACAGCGGCGAGGCTGCTGGGTACGCGCCTGGGAGTGAGCCGTCCGAGGCTGCGCCATCGTCGTACAGCGGCGAGGCTGCTGGGTACAAGGCACGGACTGCGCCATCGACTGTGTCAGCGCCATCATCGTACAGCGGCGATGCTACTGGGTACAAAGAACGGGCTGTACCGTCGACTGTGTCTGCGCCATCATCGTACAGCGGCGAGGCTGCTGGGTACGCGCCTGGGAGCGAGCCGTCCGAGACTGCGCCATCATCGTACAGCGGCGAAGCTGCTGGGTACAAGGCACGGACTGCGCCATCGACTGTGTCAGCGCCATCATCGTACAGCGGCGAGGCTGCTGGGTACGCGCCTGGGAGTGAGCCGTCCGAGGCTGCGCCATCGTCGTACAGCGGCGAGGCTGCTGGGTACAAGACACGAGCTGCGCCGTCGACTGTGTCAGCGCCATCGTCGTACAGCGGCGAGGCTGCTGTGTTTGATCATGTCGACAGACTTGCTTCCAAGACCGTGGCGTCGTCATACAGTGGTGAAGCTTTTGAGTTTTTCAAACCGAGCGAGTCATCTGAGGTCATGACTCCTCTGTCGTCGTATTCGGGCGACCAAGCTGGTTTCGTGGCCAAGCCGACTGTGCCGGAGTTGTCGGCCCCATCATCGCACCTGACCGACAGGGCAGATTTTACCAAGCCAAGTGAGCCACCTGAAGACATCATCGAGCCGTCATCGTACTCAGGCGAGTATGCACGCTTCCACGCGAAGCCTGTGTCAGAGTCACACTCGCTGACTTCTACATCAGCTGAAACATACAGCAGCTCGTCATCGCGCATAACTCATGAGAGCGACATGCTCAACTACCTTGACCTGATTGACCAACATATCCGTGGCCTACAGACGTCGATGCAGACCGCTTCTGTCGCTGTCACGGACAAAGTCGGCTCATTGACCGATCGCATGGATGGGGCCGAGAATCATCTCCGACTCGACATGCGAACGGATGGTATGGCCACCGTGGCTGGTCATCCTGTGGACGAGCTCCTTGGCACGCAGCAAATGCTCTCCGACGATATGTACGGAACCGAGTATGCAATTGCCGGCGCAAGCTTTGCCAAGCGGAGTACTTCACCACCAGATTCTTCTGACTATGGCACTGATGTCATTGCGCGACGTGTGGGTGGGGCTTTTGCTGTTACGGACGGAGAGGCTCGCAAGCACGGCGTCGTCGACTATCTGGCTGGCGTGAAGGTCAAGGTGGACAGACTTGCCAAAGGCATGGAGGAGGTGTTTGACGACAACATCAAGCTCGTGGCGGCTCTCGAGGACAACGTGGATGACCTTGAGGATATGAAGGCTGACGCGGAGGCGCTTGCGGCAGCGGAGGCCGAGGCTTCGATTGCGTTAGCACTCCAAGCAGCGCAGGAGCGACTTGCAGCGAAGTCCAGCAGCTACGACACAGATGCTACCGGATTCCAGGCGAAGGACATGGGGTCAGGTGCATCGTCGTCGTACTCTGGCGACTATGCCGGTTTCCAGGCCAAGACAGCGGCATCGACCATGTCGGCACCATCGTCATACTCGACCGACCAGGCTGGGTTTGCCAAGCCGAGCGAGTCGTCTGAGGCTGCCATTGAGCCGTCGTCATACTCGACCGACCAGGCTGGATTTGTGCCGATGAGCGCCAGCTCCGCTGCACCGTCGTCGTACTCAGGCGACTACGCCGGTTTCCAGGCCAAGACAGCGGTATCGACAGTGTCGGCGCCGTCGTCGTACTCGGTGGATCACACTGCAACTACGGGCGTGGAGCTCCATGAGGTCTCGACCACTTCGTATTCCGGCACGGACGCAGTAGTGTTTAAGAACCCTGTTGTGACACCAATGGGCATGTCGTCATTCTACTCGGCGGACCGGAGTAAGCTCTTCAAACCAAGCGCGTCGTCTGAAGCTGCCGTGTCGTCGTCGTACTCGACCGACCAGGCTGGGTCTGTGCCGAAGAGCACCAGCTCCGCCGCACCGTCGTCGTACTCAGGCGACTACGCCGGTTTCCAGGCCAAAACAGCGGCATCGACCATGTCGGCACCATCGTCGTACTCGACCGACCAGGCTGGGTTCGCCAAGCCGAGCGAGTCGTCTGAGGCTGCCATTGAGCCGTCGTCATACTCGACCGACCAGGCTGGATTTGTGCCGATGAGCGCCAGCTCCGCTGCACCGTCGTCGTACTCAGGCGACTACGCCGGTTTCCAGGCCAAAACGACGGCATCGACAGTGTCGGCGTCGTCGTCATACTCGACCGACCAGGCTGGGTTCGCCAAGCCGAGCGAGGCGTCCGAGGCTGCCGTGCCATCGTCGTACTCGACCGAACAGGCTGGGTTCGTACCGATGAGCACCAGCTCCGCTGCACCGTCGTCGTACTCGGGCGACTACGCCGGCTTCCAGGTCAAGACGACGGTATCGACCACGTCGGCGCCGTCGTCCTACTCAGGTGACCATACTGGCTTTCACGCCAAGACAGCGGCATCGACAGCGTCGGCGCCGTCGTCGTACTCGACCGACCAGGCTGGGTTTGTCCAGCCGAGCGAGTCGTCCGAGGCTGCCACGCCGTCGTCGTACTCGGGCGATTACGCTGGTTTCCAGGCCAAGACAGCGGCATCGACAGCGTCGGTGCCATCGTCGCACTCGACCGACCAGGCTGGGTTTGCCAAGCCGAGCGAGTCGTCTGAGGCTGCCATTGAGCCGTCGTCATACTCGACCGACCAGGCTGGATTTGTGCCGATGAGCGCCAGCTCCGCTGCACCGTCGTCGTACTCAGGCGATTACGCCGGCTTCCAGGCCAAGACAGCGGCATCGACCATGTCGGCACCATCGTCGTACTCGACCGACCAGGCTGGGTTTGCCAAGCCGAGCGAGGCATCTGAGGCTGCCGCGTCGTCGTCATACTCGACCGACCAGGCTGGGTTTGCCAAGCTGAGCGAGTCGTCTGAGGCTGCCGCGTCGTCGTCGTACTCGACCGACCAGGCTGGATTTGTGCCGATGAGCGCCAGCTCCGCTGTACCGTCGTCGTACTCAGGCGACTACGCCGGTTTCCAGGCCAAAACGACGGCATCGACAGTGTCGTCGCCATCGTTGTACTCGACTGACCAGGCTGGTTTTGCCAAGCCGAGCGAGTCGTCCGAGGCTGCCATTGAGCCGTCGTCATACTCGACCGACCAGGCTGGGTTTGTGCCGATGAGCACCAGCTCCGCTCCACCGTCGTCGTACTCAGGCGACTACGCCGGTTTCCAGGCCAAAACGACGGCATCGACAGTGTCGGCGTCGTCGTCATACTCGACCGACCAGGCTGGGTTCGCCAAGCCAAGCGAGGCATCTGAGGCTGCCGCGTCGTCGTCATACTCGACCGACCAGGCTGGGTTTGCCAAGCTGAGCGAGTCGTCTGAGGCTGCCGCGTCGTCGTCGTACTCGACCGACCAGGCTGGATTTGTGCCGATGAGCGCCAGCTCCGCTGTACCGTCGTCGTACTCAGGCGACTACGCCGGTTTCCAGGCCAAAACGACGGCATCGACAGTGTCGTCGCCATCGTTGTACTCGACTGACCAGGCTGGTTTTGCCAAGCCGAGCGAGTCGTCCGAGGCTGCCATTGAGCCGTCGTCATACTCGACCGACCAGGCTGGGTTTGTGCCGATGAGCACCAGCTCCGCTCCACCGTCGTCGTACTCAGGCGACTACGCCGGTTTCCAGGCCAAAACGACGGCATCGACAGTGTCGGCGTCGTCGTCATACTCGACCGACCAGGCTGGGTTCGCCAAGCCAAGCGAGGCATCTGAGGCTGCCGCGTCGTCGTCATACTCGACCGACCAGGCTGGGTTTGCCAAGCTGAGCGAGTCGTCTGAGGCTGCCGCGTCGTCGTCGTACTCGACCGACCAGGCTGGGTTTGTGCCGATGAGCACCAGCTCCGCTCCACCGTCGTCGTACTCGGGTGACCACGCCGGTTTCCAGGCCAAAACGACGGCATCGACAGTGTCGTCGCCATCGTTGTACTCGACCGACCAGGCTGGGTTTGCCAAGCCGAGCGAGTCGTCCGAGGCTGCCATTGAGCCGTCGTCATACTCGACCGACCAGGCTGGGTTTGTGCCGATGAGCACCAGCTCCGCTCCACCGTCGTCGTACTCGGGTGACCACGCCGGTTTCCAGGCCAAGACAGGGGTATCGACAGTGTCGGCGCTATCGTTGACGTCGGTGGACATGGTGCTGGCCGCCAGCTCAGATCGTGATGAGCGGTCGGCCACGTCTAATTATGGTACCGATGCAGTTGTCATCAAGGCGCCGCCGCGTCAACCTGCATGCGAACCTTCGTCGGAGTGTGTCAAGGTTGGAGAGACACCCACGTTTTCGGATGAGGCAGATGTACTGGGGTATCTTCAGCTGGTGGACAACCATGTGCGCGGGATGGAGGCTGCGATGCATGGCTCGTCACAGGCTGTGGCCAGCAAAGTGCACGACATCACCACCAATGTCCATGATGCGGAGATGATGATGACTAGAGCTGACTCGGATGACGTTGGCCACTTTACTGGTCGCGACATGAGTGAGATCCTTGGCACTGATGGGTCTGACCAGGAGCCCGGATATGCTATGGCCGGGGTAACCGAGCGCGGCACCGCACCTCCCATCTCATCTGATTACGGGACAGATGTGGTGGCACGGCGTGGCCACGGGCCGGCGGCGACGTCGAATATGATTGGACGCGCGGGAGTGATCGCTTCACTGGCAGGAGTCAAGTCGAAGGTGACTCGACTGGCACAAGGCATGGGGGAGGTGTTTGACGACAACGCCAAGCTCGTGGCGGCTCTCGAGGACAACGTGGATGACCTTGAGGATATGAAGGCTGACGCGGAGGCGCTTGTGGCAGCGGAGGCCGAGGCTTCGATTGCGTTAGCACTCCAAGCAGCGCAGGAGCGACTTGCAGCGAAGTCCAGCAGCTACGACACAGATGCTACCGGATTCCAGGCGAAGGACATGGGGTCAGGTGCATCGTCGTCGTACTCTGGCGACTATGCCGGTTTTCAGGCCAAGACAGCGGCATCGACAGCGTCGCTGCCATCGTCGCACTCGACCGACCAGGCTGGGTTTGTGCCGATGAGCACCAGCTCCGCTGCACCGTCGTCGTACTCGGGCGACTATGCTGGTTTCCAGGCCAAGACAGCAGCATCGACCATGTCGGCACCATCGTCGTACTCGACCGACCAGGCTGGGTTTGTCCAGCCGAGCGAGTCGTCCGAGGCTGCCACGCCGTCGTCGTACTCGGGCGATTACGCTGGTTTCCAGGCCAAGACAGCGGCATCGACAGCGTCGGTGCCATCGTCGCACTCGACCGACCAGGCTGGGTTTGTGCCGATGAGCACCAGCTCCGCTGCACCGTCGTCGTACTCGGGCGACTACGCCGGTTTCCAGGCCAAGACGGCGGCATCGACAGTGTCGGCGTCGTCGTCATACTCGACCGACCAGGCTGGGTTCGCCAAGCCGAGCGAGGCGTCCGAGGCTGCCGTGCCATCGTCGTACTCGACCGAACAGGCTGGGTTCGTACCGATGAGCACCAGCTCCGCTGCACCGTCGTCGTACTCGGGCGACTACGCCGGCTTCCAGGTCAAGACGACGGTATCGACCACGTCGGCGCCGTCGTCCTACTCAGGTGACCATACTGGCTTTCACGCCAAGACAGCGGCATCGACAGCGTCGGCGCCGTCGTCGTACTCGACCGACCAGGCTGGGTTTGTCCAGCCGAGCGAGTCGTCCGAGGCTGCCACGCCGTCGTCGTACTCGGGCGATTACGCTGGTTTCCAGGCCAAGACAGCGGCATCGACAGCGTCGGTGCCATCGTCGCACTCGACCGACCAGGCTGGGTTTGTGCCGATGAGCACCAGCTCCGCTGCACCGTCGTCGTACTCGGGCGACTATGCTGGTTTCCAGGCCAAGACAGCAGCATCGACAGCGTCGGCGCCGTCGTCGTACTCGACCGACCAGGCTGGGTTTGTGCCGATGAGCACCAGCTCCGCTGCATCGTCGTCGTACTCGGGTGACCACGCCGGTTTCCAGGCCAAGACAGCGGCATCGACCATGTCGGCACCATCGTCGTACTCGACCGACCAGGCTGGGTTTGTCCAGCCGAGCGAGTCGTCCGAGGCTGCCACGCCGTCGTCGTACTCGGGCGATTACGCTGGTTTCCAGGCCAAGACAGCGGCATCGACAGCGTCGGTGCCATCGTCGCACTCGACCGACCAGGCTGGGTTTGTGCCGATGAGCACCAGCTCCGCTGCACCGTCGTCGTACTCGGGCGACTACGCCGGTTTCCAGGCCAAGACGGCGGCATCGACAGTGTCGGCGTCGTCGTCATACTCGACCGACCAGGCTGGGTTCGCCAAGCCGAGCGAGGCGTCCGAGGCTGCCGCGCCATCGTCGTACTCGACCGAACAGGCTGGGTTCGTACCGATGAGCACCAGCTCCGCTGCACCGTCGTCGTACTCGGGCGACTACGCCGGCTTCCAGGTCAAGACGACGGTATCGACCACGTCGGCGCCGTCGTCCTACTCAGGTGACCATACTGGCTTTCACGCCAAGACAGCGGCATCGACAGCGTCGGCGCCGTCGTCGTACTCGACCGACCAGGCTGGGTTTGTCCAGCCGAGCGAGTCGTCCGAGGCTGCCACGCCGTCGTCGTACTCGGGCGATTACGCTGGTTTCCAGGCCAAGACAGCGGCATCGACAGCGTCGGTGCCATCGTCGCACTCGACCGACCAGGCTGGGTTTGTGCCGATGAGCACCAGCTCCGCTGCACCGTCGTCGTACTCGGGCGACTATGCTGGTTTCCAGGCCAAGACAGCGGCATCGACAGTGTCGGCACCATCGTCGTACTCGACCGACCCGGCTGGGTTCGCCAAGCCGAGCGAGTCGTCTGAGGCTGCCATTGAGCCGTCGTCATACTCGACCGACCAGGCTGGATTTGTGCCGATGAGCGCCAGCTCCGCTGCACCGTCGTCGTACTCAGGCGATTACGCCGGCTTCCAGGCCAAGACAGCGGCATCGACCATGTCGGCACCATCGTCGTACTCGACCGACCAGACTGGGTTTGCCAAGCCGAGCGAGGCATCTGAGGCTGCCGCGTCGTCGTCATACTCGACCGACCAGGCTGGGTTTGCCAAGCCGAGCGAGTCGTCTGAGGCTGCCGCGTCGTCGTCGTACTCGACCGACCAAGCTGGGTTTGCCAAGCCGAGCGAGTCGTCCGAGGCTGCCGCGCCGTCGTCGTACTCGACCGACCACACTGGGTTCGCCAAGCCGAGCGAGGCATCTGAGGCTGCCGCGTCGTCGTCATACTCGACCGACCAGGCTGGGTTTGCCAAGCCGAGCGAGTCGTCTGAGGCTGCCGCGTCGTCGTCGTACTCGACCGACCAGGCTGGGTTTGTGCCGATGAGCACCAGCTCCGCCGCACCGTCGTCATACTCGGGTGACCACGCCGGTTTCCAGGCCAAGACAGCGGCATCGACCATGTCGGCACCATCGTCGTACTCGACCGACCAGGCTGGGTTTGCCAAGCCGAGCGAGTCGTCTGAGGCTGCCGCGTCGTCGTCGTACTCGACCGACCAGGCTGGGTTTGTGCCGATGAGCACCAGCTCCGCCGCACCGTCGTCATACTCGGGTGACCACGCCGGTTTCCAGGCCAAGACAGCGGCATCGACCATGTCGGCACCATCGTCGTACTCGACCGACCAGACTGGGTTCGCCAAGCCGAGCGAGTCGTCTGAGGCTGCCGCGTCGTCGTCGTACTCGACCGACCAGGCTGGGTTTGCCAAGCCGAGCGAGTCGTCTGAGGTTGCCGTTCAGCCGTCGTCGTACTCGACGGATGGAGCTGTATTTGCCAAGCCCAGCCAGCCCACCGTCATGTCATTCTCACACTCGACATACGTCACTGACGGCTCATGTCTTGACGAAGCGAGCAGCGAAGGATATAGCTCAAGCTACAGTGTCGACTTTGGTGCGTTCTCCGAGCTGACCTATTCGTCTGACTCGAATTCCAGGTCTGGCTCTGATTTACTCCCGGTCGAGACGTTATCCGAGTACGGAACCGATGCAGTTGCACGTGTTGCCCCAGCTCTGACAACACCGTCACAACACAGCGATGGTGCTGGAACTCTGATCCATCCCTTCCAGCCGCAGTCGTCCTACTCGGCGGATGCTGCTGGCTTCCATGCTCGCTCCGGGACTAATGGGACCGAGACACAGCCGTCTTCCTACTCTACGGATGGCGCTGGCTTCAAGGGCCGGTCTGGCGAGTCGCGACCGTCGTCCTACTCTACGGATGGTGCCGGGTTCAAGGGTCACTCCGGCGAGTCGCAGCCGTCGTCCTACTCTACGGATGCTGCTGGCTTCCATGTCCGCTCCGGGGCTGCTGGGACCGAGTCGCAGCCGTCGTCCTACTCTACGGATGGTACCGGGTTCAAGGGTCACTCCGGCGAGTCGCAGCCGTCGTCCTACTCGAATGATGCTGCTGGCTTCCATGCGCGCTCCGGGATTGCTGGGACCGAGTCGCAGCCGTCGTCCTACTCTACGGATGGCGCTGGCTTCAAGGGCCGGTCTGGCGAGTCGCGACCGTCGTCCTACTCTACGGATGGTGCCGGGTTCAAGGGTCACTCCGGCGAGTCGCAGCCGTCGTCCTACTCTACGGATGCTGCTGGCTTCCATCCCCGCTCCGGGATTGCTGGGACCGAGTCGCAGCCGTCGTCCTACTCTACGGATGGTACCGGATTCAAGGGTCGGTCTGGCGAGTCGCAGCCGTCGTCCTACTCTACGGATGGCGCTGGCTTCAAGGGCCGGTCTGGCGAGTCGCGACCGTCGTCCTACTCTACCGATGGTGCTGGGTTCAAGGGCCACTCCGACGAGTCGCAGCGGTCGTCCTACTCTACGGATGCTGCTGGCTTCCATCCCCGCTCCGGGGCTGCTGGGACCGAGTCGCAGCCGTCGTCCTACTCTACGGATGGTGCCGGGTTCAAGGGCTACTCCGGCGAGTCGCAGCCGTCTTCATACTCTACCGATGGCGCCGGGTTCAAGGGCCACTCCGACGAGTCGCAGCCGTCGTCCTACTCTACGGATGCTGCTGGCTTCCATCCCCGCTCCGGGGCTGCTGGGACCGAGTCGCAGCCGTCGTCCTACTCTACGGATGGTGCCGGGTTCAAGGGCTACTCCGGCGAGTCGCAGCCGTCGTCCTACTCTGCGGATGGCGCCGGGTTCAAGGGCCGGTCTGGCGAGTCGCAGCCGTCGTCCTACTCTACGGATGGTACCGGGTTCAAGGGTCACTCCGACGAGTCGCAGCGGTCGTCCTACTCTACGGATGCTGCTGGCTTCCATGCCCGCTCCGGGACTGCTGGGATCGAGTCGCAGCCGTCGTCCTACTCTATCGATGGCGCCGGGTTCAAGGGCCACTCCGACGAGTCGCGACCGTCGTCCTACTCTATGGATGCTGCTGGCTTCCATGCCCGCTCCGGGACTGCTGGGACCGAGTCGCAGCCGTCGTCCTACTCTACGGATGGTACCGGATTCAAGGGCCGGTCTGGCGAGTCGCAGCCGTCGTCCTACTCTACGGATGGTACCGGGTTCAAGGGCCGGTCTGGGGAGTCGCAGCCGTCGTCCTACTCTACGGATGGTGCTGGCTTCAAGGCCCGGTCCGGCGAGTCGCAGCCGTCGTCCTACTCTACGGATGGTGCCGGGTTCAAGGCCCGGTCCGGGGCTGCTGGGATCGAGTCGCAGCCGTCGTCCTACTCTACCGATGGCGCCGGGTTCAAGGGTCACTCCGACGAGTCGCAGTCGTCGTCCTACTCGAATGATGGTGCTGGCTTCCATGTCCGCTCCGGGATTGCTGGGACCGAGTCGCAGCCGTCGTCCTACTCTGCGGATGGCGCCGGGTTCAAGGGCCGGTCTGGCGAGACACAGCCGTCGTCCTACTCTACGGATGGTGCTGGCTTCAAGGCCTGGTCCGGCGAGTCGCAGCCGTCGTCCTACTCTACGGATGGTGCTGGCTTCCATCCCGCTCCGGGATTGCTGGGACCGAGTCGCAGCCGTCGTCCTACTCGAATGATGCTGCTGGCTTCCATGCCCGCTCCGGGACTGCTGGGACCGAGTCGCAGCGGTCGTCCTACTCTACGGATGGTACCGGATTCAAGGGCCGGTCTGGCGAGTCGCAGCCGTCGTCCTACTCGAATGATGCTGCTGGCTTCCATGCCCGCTCCGGGACTGCTGGGATCGAGTCGCAGCCGTCGTCCTACTCTACGGATGGTACCGGGTTCAAGGGTCGGTCTGGCGAGTCGCAGCCGTCGTCCTACTCTACGGATGGTACCGGGTTCAAGGGCCGGTCTGGGGAGTCGCAGCCGTCTTCATACTCTACGGATGGTGCCGGGTTCAAGGGTCACACCGGCGAGTCGCAGCGGTCGTCCTACTCGAATGATGCTGCTGGCTTCCATTCCCGCTCCGGGGCTGCTGGGACCGAGTCGCAGCCGTCGTCCTACTCTACGGATGGTGCCGGGTTCAAGGGCTACTCCGGCGAGTCGCAGCCGTCTTCATACTCTACCGATGGCGCCGGGTTCAAGGGCCGGTCCGGCGAGTCGCAGCCGTCGTCCTACTCTACGGATGGCGCCGGGTTCAAGGGCCGGTCCGACGAGTCGCGACCGTCGTCCTACTCTACGGATGCTGCTGGCTTCCATGCCCGCTCCGGGACTGCTGGGATCGAGTCGCAGCCGTCGTCCTACTCTACGGATGGTGCCGGGTTCAAGGGCCGGTCCGACGAGTCGCGACCGTCGTCCTACTCTACGGATGCTGCTGGCTTCCATGCCCGCTCCGGGACTGCTGGGATCGAGTCGCAGCCGTCGTCCTACTCTACGGATGGTACCGGGTTCAAGGGTCACTCCGACGAGTCGCAGCGGTCGTCCTACTCTACGGATGCTGCTGGCTTCCATCCCCGCTCCGGGATTGCTGGGACTGAGTCGCAGCCGTCGTCCTACTCTACGGATGGTGCCGGGTTCAAGGGCTACTCCGGCGAGTCGCAGCCGTCTTCATACTCTACCGATGGCGCCGGGTTCAAGGGCCGGTCCGGCGAGTCGCAGCCGTCGTCCTACTCTACGGATGGCGCCGGGTTCAAGGGTCGGTCTGGCGAGTCGCAGCCGTCGTCCTACTCTACGGATGGCGCTGGCTTCAAGGGTCACTCCGACGAGTCGCAGCGGTCGTCCTACTCTACGGATGCTGCTGGCTTCCATCCCCGCTCCGGGATTGCTGGGACCGAGTCGCAGCCGTCGTCCTACTCTACGGATGGTACCGGATTCAAGGGTCGGTCTGGCGAGTCGCAGCCGTCGTCCTACTCTACGGATGGCGCTGGCTTCAAGGGCCGGTCTGGCGAGTCGCGACCGTCGTCCTACTCTACGGACGGTGCCGGGTTCAAGGGTCACTCCGACGAGTCGCGACAGTCGTCCTACTCTACGGATGCTGCTGGCTTCCATCCCCGCTCCGGGGCTGCTGGGATCGAGTCGCAGCCGTCTTCATACTCTACGGATGGCGCCGGGTTCAAGGGCCACTCCGACGAGTCGCAGCGGTCGTCCTACTCTACGGATGCTGCTGGCTTCCATCCCCGCTCCGGGGCTGCTGGGACCGAGTCGCAGCCGTCGTCCTACTCTACGGATGGTACCGGGTTCAAGGGCCGGTCTGGCGAGACACAGCCGTCGTCCTACTCTACGGATGGTGCTGGCTTCAAGGCCCGGTCCGGCGAGTCGCAGCCGTCGTCCTACTCTATCGATGGCGCCGGGTTCAAGGGCCACTCCGACGAGTCGCAGCGGTCGTCCTACTCTACGGATGCTGCTGGCTTCCATCCCTGCTCCGGGGCTGCTGGGACCGAGTCGCAGCCGTCGTCCTACTCTACGGATGCTGCTGGCTTCCATCCCCGCTCCGGGGCTGCTGGGATCGAGTCGCAGCCGTCTTCATACTCTACGGATGGTGCCGGGTTCAA